CTATATATATATATATATATATATATATGTATATATCTAAAACCATCACCTGTCGTGATAGTTTTAAATGCTGTAAATCAGAAATGTGTTCATAAATCACTAACCCTCATAAAGCGTTCGAAAACTTGCTTCCGCTTGCGCGTTGCAACATGCAACGAATCGCATTATTAATAAAAATAAGGATCCTTTTTATAAAAATAAAAAGTGATTCATGATTTTTTTCGTGATTCTTGTTAATGATTCATTTCCACAATGTGGAATGATAAAGATGCGAAACTATATAAACGCTGCAGTTTTCAAAGGGTAAGAAAAAGCTATATCATAACTGCCGGATACATAGTCGATGTAATTATATCGACATACGTAACGCAAATGATATTATCATATTATCATGTAGATTACAATGATATTATCATATTATCAGTAGAAATACAATTTATATTATCGCGCGCATTAAACATTTCAAGTACATCGTAGACTTTTATTCTTTGTAATCTACATTTTAATATCAAAATAAAACAATTCTATCACGAAAGTATGCCATTTAAGCTGATATCGTGACGATAACCCTGTGCAAAACTGCAAACGTAAATTCTTAATTACAAATTGTACACTGCGACATTTAACCTAAATCTAATTCCTAAATTAACAAATGTGTGAAAATGCACCATTAAATTTTCTTCTTATCATTGTAATAAATGAAATATTGTGTAAAGCAGGAAATTATGGAGTTGACTGGATGCAGGAAATACAAGAGACGAGTCAATGTTGATTTTACTTCTTATAATAATGATTGATTATGTGCGTTTACAACTCGTCCTTCCTTGGCACGTCATCGTCTTCATCCTCTTCCTGAGCCTGTGAAATGAAATAAACAATGTATAATTCCAATATAAGATTACAAAATTCAAAAAAGATATTACTACTATTATTGTCTTTTAGTCCAAAATGATTACAATCTCTCTTTTGCAATTCAAAATAATTCTTTGACATACCTCTTCTGCGGATTGCCCGTACGCTCCGTTAGAATCGATAAATTTGGAAAGACCTTCGAGTGTCCTCTCGCCATTATATTCCACACCCTAGAACAAAAATTATAGAAATGAGCATATTCTAAGCACATTATAAATGTGATAAATGCAAGTTGAATAGATGAGAAAGACTCGTACCTCATTCGTCTCTTTTTTGTAGAGCACGATCTTGGGGAAACTGCTGACTTTTATATCTGCCAACTCGTTAGCAGTAGCATCCATTTTTGCGATAATCAACTTATCATCGTCCTTGTATTTTTCACCAAGCTAAAATCAACATGCTCGGTTAATGAAGTTACCTTATAATATATCTTATCGATGACATAAAGTATAAATATATGTATATAAAGATATGCATGTATACAGAATATATAACAAGTTCCAATAAATAAAATGAATATATGAATAAATGAATAAAATGAATATACTTGTTCATAAATCGGCGCTAACTGTTGGCAATGACCGCACCAAGGTGCATAGAATTCAACAAGAACATCCTTCTCCTTATTGAAGACAATTTCATGGAAGTTTGTGCCGACGAGAACTTTAACTGGGTTCTTGTCCCAATCTTCCGGTAATTCTTGCGTAAGGAGGTGCTGCTTCAATTTGCCTTCTATGAAATCGGTGACGAATCCCATAACGTTTTCGGTGGTAATCTCTAGATTATCAGGCTTGTACTTGGCCATATCCTGTTCGAGCTTGATAAGCCGCATGGTAGGTATATCTTCTTTCTTTAAACCAAAGAACTCCAAAATACGTTCGTGATCGGTTTCATCACAGTCGATCGTCACAAACAGGACCTACGTATAGATATTTTAAGACATTACGTTGATTTCTTTGTGAAATAATATAATATAAAATTAAATTCCATTACTGATAAAGATAAAATTAAATTCCATTACTGATAAAATTAAATTCCATACCTCACCACGATATTTCTTCGCTGGCTCTTGTATTACTTCAACATATTTTTCAATATGACCAGCTTCTTTACTGAGGAAAAGTAACAAATGGCTCTTGATATCTCCGCTAAAGATCTTCTGTGCTGTGTCTTGATTGAATTCAACAACTAAAGGCAATGAATATACAGAAATAAAGTTTTGCACAGCTGTAGCCGTGAGCTCGCCATCAAAAACAGCTTTGCCTTCATCAAACTACAAAGAATAGATATATTCAAATTAGAGATTACAGAAAATAGAAATTAATTTGTTTTTCTCTAACACAATGCTAATATAAACATACCTTCTTAAATAACACGATCTTTCCATCTTCAATTTCATATTCCTTGAATACTTCATCAGCGCTTGTAATACCAAATACATAATCATCCACTGTGCTACCAACTTCCAAGAATACCTTGGCGGCATCACTTTCAACGTCCTAATAAAGTCGTTACATATGTATATAAACAGATAAGCTGTTGTGACACATTACTTCTGATTATTACAACAGTTCAGTAACATAAAGTATTTTCACACTTCAGTGTTAATAGATAAAAATAGTATTATCGATAAAACAAAGGATGACAAGAGGAATAATTTTAATTAACATACCTTAAAGAATCCAACAATGGCAACTTTGTGCTCATCGATAAATGCTTTAGCTTCGTCGACTGTAGGCAGGTTTTTGGCAGGAGGACCAGTCTTCTTGATCAGCCAGTTTACAATGTCATCTGCTTGACGACCACCAGTATAATCGATGTGAGCTCCTTTACGATAAAACTTGAGAGTAGGATATCCTCTTACTAAGTGTTTCTCAGTGAGTTGTGTCTCGACTGTTGCATCCACTTTGGCCAATTTGATTGGTGAATCCATCGCTTCTAATTTTTTTGCTGCCTTGGCATATTCGGGCGCCAGCGCTCTGCAGTGTCCGCACCATGGGGCATCTATGATAAAAAAATATAAATATAATTTGCCATATCTTAAAAGTGCTTGCTATACAAAATAATCATTTTTTAGTAAAAACTTAACGACAATAATTCTCTTTCATATTTCTAAACGTTTCAAAAATAAACAAATTCTTCATAATTATATTTGCTTATAAATAGCATGACTAGATTCAAGTATTATTACTCAGATTTTTCTTAAATCTGAGTAATAATACTTGAATCTAGTTCTTAAATCAATTCTTATAAGAAAATGAAAATTGTTTAAAAAAATTGATAAAATAAGAATAAAAGAAGAAACAATAAAAAAAAATGTAATGTAGTTTTGTACATTGAAGCATTTCAAAGATTAACTTGTTAATGTCAAATTATTTGATTACCATATGGTACCTAACATCAAGGTCAACAAAGTGGCAAATAACAATCTAAAATTGATAAGCCGGGTATTAGATTATCACTCCAATAAAAAAAATGTGATTGAATGTATCCTGTAATTCATACAAATTGAACGGTATCATTTATAGATATTGCGTCCGGCAATCGACACCATCGTCATCATCATTAAGATTATCGCGTCATCCTAATGTGCCGTCACTCTCGGTCTTATAATTGCCGGGCGATTTGCAAGCCGTATACAACCACGTATAACGGTAAAAAAAAAAAACCCGCCGAAGGTGGGAGAAGTCGTCTTATCTTCCGCAGCTGCACTTTCTTACACCCTTCGCACTCGGCCGAGCAAACGCAGCCGCATGGAAAGACGAGGCGTAGAAAAGTCAAGGAGAAAAATGTTAGAAACCGATCGAGTAGGCCGCGAGAGGCCGAAGGACATCCGGAAATAGAAATATCGCCGAACGTCTCGCTGTTTTTCAAACGTTAAATATACTCATTGTCCAAATATGGATTTTTGTAGTCTCGAAGTGTTCTTTGTTCCTCTTTCTTTTTCTCGCATGATTGACACGCGTCCCTCATCATCCGGAGAACGAGAAGGGGAAATAAAGAAGAAGAAATTACGGAAAAAAAAAAGGAAATGAAAATCCAACTGGATGTCTTGCCGAAATGTCGCTTCGGTCGCCGACCGGTCTCCTCGAGGATGCTCGAGTGATGACGTGTACGAAGCTCGTGCTCACATCTGGAGAAGCCGGCGTGCGGGCGAGAATTCACAAGCTCGTGCGGAGACGAATATTTAACATAAATCCAGCCCCGTTGATGTTTTTTTCACGCTTCGCGCCGTATGCTCCGCGTTCTTTTCCTTGTTGTTTAAATCGCGGGAAACGAGAGATCGGGTACAAAAAGATACAGGCGAGGGGATTTAGCTCTCATCTCGAAGAGCAACAGATACACACGTACGAACTCGCAGCAGACACGCGCGTTCCCCATGGGTGGAAGAGAACGAGGGTGGTGACGTCGATATACTCACAGAATTCGAGGAGCACGTACTCGTTGTCCTGGATGACGCTTTCGAAGTTGTCCTTGGTGACTACTAGGACACCCTCGTCTGTCTCGACCTTGGCAAGGGAGGTCGCGGCCAGGCAGAGTGCCGCCAAACAGAATCCACCGATGGATCTCATGCTTAATTGGAGTACCTCGCTCTTTCCCTTTGATTCTCTCTTTCCTCCTTTCTCGCGTTCCCTTCAAGTCGAGGCGCGAGCTGCCTCACTAAGTCGAAGACGTTGGACGAGGACGGGACGAGCCGGGAAGACACCGTTCGCGCGAGAAAAACGAGCGATGAATGAGCGAACGTGACGCTGCGTCGGCGGCCGTAGGCTGTAGATTCGCGTTGTTGGCTCGCGGCTTCATACGCGTGGCATCGTCCTCATCGTGGGGATCGCTGATTGGCTGATTCTCCTCGAGTTTTGCGACCAGCCGTCGGCAGTCTGTGTGCGCGCGGCCATCGTCCGCGGCAGGAATTACGCACGTCGCGTAAACCGGAGTCGTCGGATTTACGCGTAAAATATGAAATTATCTACATTCCGCGTAAATTATGTAAACTATGTAAACTACGTAAAACTATGTATAAAATGTCATCTGTGTAAACAACAACCGATGAATCATAGAAGATTCATCTTTCGTTAGAAATAATGGAAATGACAGGTTCCTTGATAAGCCTTTAATAAATAAATAGTTCTAATAAATAATCTTTCTTTTCAGTTGGAATATAACGTAGAGAAAAAAAGAAAATATGAACTCTGCAAAAAGTTTAATTAAAAACTTAAGTTTAGTTAAAAACAGATCAATAATATAAATAATATTTCTTCTATGTTCTACTTTTTGTGCCTTTTATATTATTCTAAAATTAATAAATTATAATATTTTTATACATTGCGTTGTATTGTCCAATTTACAATAATTTACATGATTATATTGTCTACGTTCATATAAACATCACGTAAACGTACGTAAAAATCCGTGTAAATATACCCTTGAATATAACCTTGAAATATACGAAACGATTCTGATATAAACATACAGGGATTCAGACACAATAAATGAGAATAAAGAATTCAAAATAAAGGAATTAGGAACAGAAAATTGCATTCGACATTAATGAAAGGATATGCTTGGTATTTTTTGAATAAAATAATTTCGAACACAGGAATTTCGGAGATAATTGAAGAATATCGATATTATCGATTATTGATATAAATTTTTTATTTTATGTGAAAATTTCAAAAATTAGCTTTCAATATTTAATCCATTGAGAATTTTATTATGCGAGGATTATTTTTAAATCATTTCTCACATTGATCAAGTATACAAAGATGAAAATCATTTCGATTTTTATATTTCTAATCATTACATCCTTTGATTAATATACGCGTATCGAATAGTATATATATATATATATATATATATATATATATATATATATATATATATATATATTATATTTATACCAAATTATTATTTGATGATATAAACAATAGCAACCAATATGCAATACGTATAAAAAATTATCAAATAAATGACATTCATACTCGTTTAACATTTATAAAATTATTTAATATGAATATAATAATTAGTGTATCAAACGACCGATATATGAAATAGGGCTATTATAACTTTATCGATAAAGAGCCACGCGATCCTATCGAGTGTGCTCGATTGTTATGTCAAAATCACGTGGCGTCATGATGGCGACGTACGGTTAGACTTTGGCGATTTAACAATGTGGTCGAAAATAAGAAAGAAATTAACGAACGAGCTCGATCGCGAAGACCATAGAATTCGTAAACATTGCAGAGAATGGCGGATTATATTCAGATAACTTGAATCCCAGTTCGATCAAATTGGAGGATCATAATCGTAATTTCCGTTGACGTTTGCTGCAATTGCACGGTTGAAGTAATGGCAAAATGACAAGCACAGCTGACAAGAATGTTGCGAGGAAAGCGTGTACCGAGATCGGATCGTCGAGAAAACGGCGCAACGATCGTTTCCTCAAAATGCGATTCAAGGTGCGATGCTAAGCTACAGTAGAATAGATTAAGCGATCAGTATGTCCTTGTATTAATATCGTTTTAATTATCATATAATCTAAGATAACGCATTAAAATTGAAACATTGACAAGTAAGTATAATTAGATACACGAAAAAAATGTAATTTTTTTTTAAACTACACATAAACAATGAGCATTTAAAAAAATGAATATTAGAGAGATAAAGATATCAATATGTGAAGATCAATGTCAAAAATGTTATTGTTTTTCGTATTCAATATCGTTACTTTTTATCAGTATCACACGTACAAAATACGTACGTACTTTTCCTATCTCTTGGTAGAACTTCTGAATTATAGAATATTGTAAATCGAGTAGAAAAATTTTTTAAACGATGTTTAATTTTGAGGATTGAGCATAGATCACTCAATGCAGTAATAATAATACAGGCGTCTTGATGGTACAAGATTATGGATTATGTAATTGACGTGTTAAGACACAAATTCCCGAAATAAATGTAGTTGCGAGACTGTAATATTGGTCGGTCGTGACGCGCTTCATTATCAAGTGTGGCAAGCGTCGCGGGCACGAAGCGTCGGTTCACGATTTATTTACGTGCATTAATCTCCGGTTTAACTCGAGACATTACACGGTGTATTAGCGAGTCTGTTATAAACGTACATGGTGCAATAAGTGAGATATAATGAGCTTATGCCGTGTGTATATGTATTAAATATTAAAATCAATTAATAATGAAACTGTATGATGATCTTTCATAATTCATAATATGAACAATTGATGATTATATAATTATCAGTTATATAACACTCCAACTAAAAAAAAAATACATATTTTTATCTCTTTTTATGTGTTCCAAGAGGGCGATGTACAAAGTAACGTCGGAGATACATTCAGAAAATTATCATATCTCTGAGAAGCTTGGTAGTGGCAGTAAGTTGTGTTGAATGAATAATATGCTTGAATTTGCAAATAATATTTATATCTTCACATTTTAATATACAGCAATTGATTTCAGATGCGGTAACTAAATTCACTTTTAAATGTCCATCTTACATGATTGACGCGGAATCCACAGCCGGACCACTAAATTATGACAATGATGATGATCTAGATGTAGATAGAGATAGAGATGGAGTCATTTTAATAGGTATAAAATTAATTCTCGTGTATAATTCTTGTATAACACATTCAACAAATCGTGTTTATAGAGCACAGCATATCTACAGAGCTGAACTTAGTCGGTTTGCAAGTGTGGAGGGGCGCTTTCTTGCTAGCTGACTACATCTTGTCGCATCCCGACTCGTTTAGAAATCAAATAATTCTGGAATTAGGATCTGGCGTTGGTTTAACCAGCATCATAGCGAGTTATTTAGCAAAACAAATCATTTGCACCGGTAATGCAAATAGTTTAAGTTCAAGTTGAAAAATACGAAGTTGAAAAATACTTTCTATTTATCTGAATATTCCAGATATCAATGTGGGTGGTATATTAAATTTAATTGAACGGAATTTTGTACGAAATTCTATGTACGTTAAATCCGGTTTTCATATCGAAGAAGTAAACTTTTTAAATTTGGAATGGCCGAAAAAATTAGAAGAGAGATTACAAAGTGCTAGCGTCATATTAGCCGCGGATGGTAAACTTAATAAGCCTACATTTTAACAAGTAAATAGTGAAAAAATAAAGAATAATTATTTTTTTTAATTTATAGTGATCTACGATGACAAAATTACAGATGGATTTGTCCGTACATTGACAAAACTTTTGTATACGAAGAAGAAAAAGACGGTTTACGTCGCTCTCGAAAAGAGATATGTCTTTACTATCGCCGATTTAGAGACCACTGCTCCAATGTTTGAAGAATTTTTACGTTGTATTGAAAAATATAAAATGAATTGGTCTATAGATTATATAAATATAGATTTTCCGCATTATTTTAAATATGATAGAGTCAAACATTTGGTTTTAATGAAGATACAAAATAATACAAAATCTATTGCAGATGTATAGCGAATTTTTTAATTAGGTATGTGAGTATAATATATTACGATAACATAGTACGTAATATATTATTGTAATTATAAAATATGTTAGTATTACAAAGATAGCTTAAATTTGCCACATAGAATAAGAAAGCAAGATTCCTGTAAATGTATACTAAATGTATAATAAAATATAATATCACAATTAATGTAAGCTATAAAAAATAATAGTTACTTAAAACAAATTTTGTAAACATTATTTTTGTCAATATATACATAAAACGTCAAATAATAAAAATTTAGTACAATTTATAAATAGGATTTAATTTAAGAAATCCCTTTTTTTAATCCTTAGAGCACCGTTTCATGTAATGAATGAGAAATTATAATCTAGGATTAATAGAAGAAAAAAAAAAAAGACCATGAAGAGACCATGATAAAAATGACAGCTATAGAATATATATTTCTCACGTCCACATATTTATTTCATCATTTAATCTCCTATTTACAACCTATCATAGATAATATTATTGGACAGTGAATTGGAAGTCGCTCGAAGAGAACGATAATTCCGTTGAACTTAAATGCCTCGACGGCATATCCTAAGATTAAAAAATTTCATAGACTACCTATAATATAAAGAAGACAGTATATATAAAGGAATGTAAACGCTTCTTCGAACGACTACGGCAGTAAAAGTTGTATATGTTACACGCAAATTTATAACATTTCTAATATGATATACTAGAGGTCTGAATCACACTTGCAATGACGATCACTAAAGAATAAATCGAATATACGAATGATTAATCTCGTTAATTTAAATCGAGTATAATAATTTCGTGATTTTTTTTTAGGAATAACGAATAATAATATTCAATATTTCCTAAATATTGTTGATCGTCATTTTGCGAATTCAGGCCTACGCTTGGTTTGGTAAAAGGCACTTTCACTCTACCGATCCGTCTCGATGTAGAAAATGTAAAGTATAATTTACAGCCTCACAGGTTTTTTTCTTATATTTTTGTATATATGCGTATGTCTGTGTATAATATATATACGCGCGTTTGAAATCTCAGAAATTCTAAACGGTTATACCGTAGCATTTTTTCATCACTTAGCATATTCAATCCGGAAACAATCAAATTTAAAATGATAAAAAATCTGTAAAATTTGGCTACAATTAATCTGCTTATAAAGTATGCGTTTTGTTATATAAAAGATAAGAGAATTTATCTCGATTGTAGAAAGACGTTTCGTATAATCGCGGTCTTGCCTTGCAAGCAGAATGTAGAACTAGAAATTCTTTCTTATGCTATATAGCCAAAATCGAATATAGCCAAAATCATTTCTAGAAATTAATTCTTAAAAATCCTGAGATCGTTTGTTTTTCGTCTTTCTGTTATAATATGAAATTACGATAATAACATAACGATATGCGCTTGATAAAATCATTTTTCATTATTTCTGGAATAAGCTGCTTTTGACTCGCTATGAGTTTTATAAATCTGTCGTATAGATATAGATATATTGCAGAATTTATCAAAAATGCTACGCAAATAAAAACTTTAAAAAAAGTGAAATAATAAAAAAAAACCGCCACTGACTAGAAAAAGAGAAATAAGTATGATAAAAATCGTGTTGCAAGAAGCATTGTACTTTATTGTTCGCGATCGGAATCATCGACACAGAGACAAGTAGGATAAAAAAATCATTCGCCGGACTTTCTTCCCTTCTTTCTTCCCCTATTATCTCTTTTCTCGATTCGTTTTCAATAATCAATTGCATAAGCTTTAAATTAAATCTCAAAAATCGCACTAACAGCTAAAACAATAATTATTTATTTAATAATGTCAATTGCATAATCATCTATATTACTTGCAACAAATACTGTACAAAAAAAGAAAATGCAATTTGCATTAGAAACGCGCGAAATCGATCTTACTGTACTACTGATGAGTAGCTACTGGAAGCTACCTCCGTTCGGGGACGGCTTCTGGCTAGCGGCTGCAGCGACGCTATCGTTGTTCGTCACCGGTATCGCGCATCCAGGATCAATTTTTCGCTGGTGATACTCGCCGGCTTGTATCGATATGCGGCGCGGCAGAATCGCATCGCATTGTTGCTTTCCGTCACTTGCACTACAGAGTTTGTACTTTTGCCGATAGATCGTTCAACAAGGTATATTCGACAACGTGCTTATACCCTCCAATTGGGTACACCGTTGAGTACAATCTTGCTTGCAATGCACCGCGTCGGAGAAGATCGCACCGAAATTCGCTGACGAACGATGGAAAGGCGAGATATGCACCAACAACGGAATTCTGCATCGAACTATTGTGAGTGACAGTCTTGCTCCTCGACAATGACAACGGTATACGTCATTTACGTTAGCTCCCATGTTTATGTGTTAACATTGTGCACGTTATTGTGCATCGTGCTCTTGACGTTCTGCGAGTTGGGTGAGCCTAACGGCATAGAAGTGGTTGTCTTTCGCCTGGCGTTAGTTGACGAACCCGAGGAGCCATCGTTGCCGAAATTGATCTTAATGCCGCCAGCCATACTGGCTTTGGAGATATCATGCATCGATTGTATATGCGCACCTGTAGCCTTCCAATGTTCCACCTGAGATTCGTGCGATTTCTGCAACACTTTACGCACGTCCCCGTCCTCGCCGCCTTCCTTCATGATTTCTTGCAGCTTTTGTATAGTCTGATATAATATCACCGGACTGATCAGCCCAAAATCAAACAGACTGCACATGTGCAATACGAAATTGCGATAAAGGTTCTTCATGAGCAATTCCTTCCCCTTATTCTCTAAGAACATTTGGCAAGCTAGTGGTATCTGGCAGTCTCCTACATATCCATGCTTCATTACGTGCAAGTTCCACATCTTCATCAGCTCTTTTTCGCCTTCGTTCACATCTGTGAAATCATCGATCATCATCATCGTCTTCGTTTGCAGCCATTTTGGATCGTTTTCACCCTCGGAATCAATGTCCATTTCTTTGGGATATATAGGCAGGCAGGTCACGGTATGATGATACAGTCTAAAGAGTGCAGATTCATATAATCCAAGTGTACATGTTTAGTTTACAAAGTAAACGCAAAATATTATTTATACTACCACGATTCATATCACGATTAATGCCTACCTATTGTGGCCGGTGATATAAGGCCTCTGACTTTCAAACTCATTCTCGTCAAGCTCCAAGAACTCGGACAGACTTGGTTTCGTTCTCTTCGGACGGCACACCAGGATATTCGTCACGCTCGTACGTCTGGTTGGTCCTGTCCTTGAAAAAGGTACACTAGACGGTTGTAGAAATTAATTCATGAGGACTACCTGCATACGAACCATCATAGCATTCGTTTATTGCTACGTCAATTCGGGCACCTTGTGGAATTGGCTGGAAAGAAAACCAACTAGTTAATGTCATAGTGAGAATACAAAATTTATACATTTGCAAATATACAAGTTATGTATATATTATTATATATATATATATATATTATATATATATTATTTATAAATAAATAACATAAATGCAAAATATACTTACCACGTATGTGAATGTGAATCGCGAATGACACAACTTCAAATGCTTCAGAAGCGAATATAGTTTGCCGCAATCCAACGAGCACCAGGGGCAGTGTAGGTCTTCGCAGGCCTCTGTCTGCTGCCGGCTGTTATTGTTGTACAAAAATTGATACACTATCTGCTGAGTTCCGTTAGCGTTAGTGTCCACCTTTTCATTGGAGATACTCATTCTCGACGAGGGTGTTAGCGGACTAGGCGTTGGCAGTGTTGCGTTATTATTATTATTTGTGCTATTATTATTATGATTTACGGAAGAGGAACGCTCGAAACCAGCTGAAAAGATAACGATAAACGTTTACAGTGATATTTTTGTATGGATATTTGGCATGACCAAACATATATCCCTCGTTTATATAATAACTGACCGTTGGCCGATCGATTTTCCTTATTGTCACCGCTCGGTATTGGAGGTATCGGCATCGGTCTATCCACCAAACCGTTGCTCGGTTCTACCGTCCAACTGAGTCGGAATTTCAACGTCGGCCCTTGCCTAAACATATCGAATGGTTCGCAGTCTTTGATGTCGGCCACAGTTTCCCAAGAACTGTGTTTCTTAGGACTGGACCTAACATTGGTTTGTACTTCCTGCAAACCTAGCTCGTACTCGCCATCCGTCAATAGACATCGATTGTGCTTGTCATACACAGTTAGCTCCGAACCATATTGTTTCACTTCCTCACCATTGACCTTTATCGACCCCGTGGACGACTTCCGACGTTTTTGAGCTGGTTCTACAACAACGTACAGTTTGTAATATACTCCACAAGCCATTTATATCAATTCTTATTCCCACCTTCTAAATCACAGTTAGTTATAAGGCAGCCATTGTTAGACATGCAGTAAACCCTGAGCAAAAGCATATAAGTCTTCGCTGTGTGACCATTATTTAAGCTGAAAGATTCATTGGGTATGGAAATCGTGGGCGCCTTCGGTGGAGGCTGACTCTCGGAAGGATTGATTGGGACCTCGCTCGTACCGACTGAAACCTAATGAAATGCTGTGTTTCAATCGAGAGTCGATTCAATCCAAAACCTGATTACACCAGTTTTTTGTACTATGAACTGTACTTGTACTTTAAACCCTATAACATCATATAGATATCAAACTTACTTGCATGATAGGCGAGCTAACGTCTTTTCTTTTCTTGTGGCAGATTTTTAACAACAATGTTTCCACTTTGACAGGATCTTGTGATGCCTCAACTACAATTACACATCACAACTTTAAGAAGTACATGAATTGTTTAGTTAAATGTCGATAGAATTCTACATTTTAAACTAGCTATACATAAAAAAAAAGTTGCATAATGAAGATGTACCTCTTTTATCGTAAAATCCTAAAAACGTAAGGGTCATGAATCCGCGAACGCCGAGATTCTGTTCGTGCTTTTTCTTCGCTATTAATTTGTCCAAAATTGTGTCGACTTTAAATCCGCGCCGTGACTTGTGACTTCTGGACATACGTTGCCGCATATACGTTAAGTTTCTATACAGAAATATCGGCTAAAAAGAAATGTTAAACTTTAATGTGCATCTATCGCCCAGATTGGTAACTTGTGTGTGGGTGTGTGATCTTCAAACAATTTAAATTTTCACAATATAACTTATACTTAAATTTTATACCTACCACACTATATAAATTTCGTACACAAAAATTTTGAAAATTATATAAAATGTAAATTTGTGGAATATCCTCAACTGAATCAAAAGAACATAACTTACCTTTATAAAAATGCTTGTATTACTATAATTATTTATTTTCATATGTTTCATTATGTTAGAAAAACTTTCATGACACCATATTTTCAAAGTTATACACACATATAACAGAATCGAACAAAATATAATTAACGCTTTGAGGGCAATGCAAATTAAAATTATAAATAAATTAAGACATTAAAAAAAAAAACGATCTACTCACCGAAATTTGGTTTCTTGTGCGCAGGAATCGATAAATCTGTGTAGGTTCTGGAAAAATGAAACATTAAACATTAGAGAATGAAACATCAAGACATTAAAATAAATTCAAATAATAATTATATAGTAGACATGTAAATTTATGCTATTTATGTTATTGTAACGAAAGACATTTGTTCTGAAACGAACATTTTTCTTTTTGTCATTTTGTCATTTTTCTTTAATAATTTTTATGCTAATTTGCAGCATTACTATGTGTATACAAATGCATCACTTGCAATTAATTTATTATACATTTATATTCTAACAAAATGTAAGTTAAATAACAAAGAAAAAGGAGAAATAAACTCACATTACTTAATAGTACAATTAATAATTAATTAATTGTAATTATTGATACATATAGAATATAAAGAATGTTTATTAATTATTTATATTGAATTGAATCTATTTTCTTAATTTTGTAACAATTTAATTTCCTTTGTATTGACAAATGTATATTTGCTCCTAAATATTTCATTCATTTCCATGTTAGTACAGAATAAACTCTCTAGATGGCCTCAAGAATGATCATATTCTCGAGTTTAAAAAACATCTTTTCGGATATAAAAGCGATATAAACTAGGAGGAAGACGATCCTTCAATCAGGTATCAAGATGGGAGATGATGAACGGGTTTGACTCAATATTATTTGAGACGCCTGCACCCTGTTTGTTACGACGCAAGCAGGCTAAACCCATCTGATCCCACATGTTTTTTCAATTATACAAAATTAAATCACTCGAAATTCTCACAAGTGCTTATGAAAATAAAATAATAGTATGCACTAGTTTTATCATCTGGAGAAAAAGAAAAAAATCTTCATAACTAACGTACAATATAACGAATTGACGTGCATTTGAATGCGTTTTGATTCGTTAATTCTCGTCTCTCCATAATATTGCTATTTAATTCGCATGCATTTATGCAGCTTGAAGTTCTCCGTAAGTCGTGTAAAAAATTTTATCTTTAATTTTCTTTTTTTTTTGTAGCATAAATTTTCCGCGAAGAAGCGGATAAGGAAAACGGGTTTTTCCACGGGAGTAATATTCGCACGACATCATTAATCGCGTGCGTTCGGTCTCCGATCTGCAATAAGGAGAGAGCAGGATGACAGGTGTCCGCGCGTTTTGGAAGTGGCGGAGGGCGCGGAGAGTGAACCGACGCGCGCCACGGCTGGCGCTCCAGTTGATTCGCGGCGGATGGGGTTAGGTCCGATCATGACGACGGTCGCAACGGCGGTGGCGGTGGCGGCGGTGGCGGTGGTAGTGACGGCGGCGGCGGTGGCGGCGGCGGCGGTGGCGGCGGCGGCTGGAGCGACAACGGCGGCGGCAGTGGCAAGATAACGACAAACCACGATGTTCGCGGGGGCGTCGCGTGCCCTTAACGGAAGGGTCGTACGAGAGGGGAGGGGGTAGGGTATCGACGCGGGGAGACCGGAGCAGAAGTTGAAGACCGCTTATCGCAACGGAAGACGCGCGATAGGCGGCAAAGAGACAAGGCGCATGGGAAAAGGCCGTAATGTATTTTCCAAAACTTACTTTCGAAGGCCTGCAAAAACAGCTCGTGATCGGCCTGAATCTGATCCATACGAGGTCCCTTCTGCCCATCGAGATCCTTCTCCCGCTTCTTCGGCGGCATTTTCGCGCGTTCCTCCGTCAACGACCAGCTCCCCCGTGGTAACACCAACTTCTCACTCTCGGTCGCGCGAAAGTTGCGACGCGACAACGACACAACACCCGCCCCGCGCGAAAACTGCGGCGCTCCGGCGGCCCCACGGCGACTGATGCGCCCCCTCGCGACGCGCCATATATTCCATGAGTATCCTGTCGTGAACTTGACGATAATTTGTGATAGATGGACTCCGTCGAACGAGTGCTGTGAAGACCTCTGGCGGAATTCGCGATACAGTATAACCAAACAGGTTACCGAAAAATCATAGTTTGCACAGATTTATAGCGAACTTCATCACCCACATTACACCGGATTAATGCATTAAATGCTGCTATACATGAAATTATTCAAATACAAAAGTGCATAAACATTTTAAACAATTATCTGAATACCACAATGATTTTAAGCCGCCTTTTTATGTTGATTTTCGACACTTATTTTCAGCGTCAAAATAGATCACACGATAAAAACTCGCCATTCAATTTTCGGGAGCGTTCTCTTTAACCAATTGCAAAGTGCAATTGAATACAATTACTTACGGCGGATGACGCTCGATTGTCCATTTTGTTGATTGGCCAATTTAAAATAAAATTTTTTGATTGGTTGATTTAGTGGAAAATTTCCAAGGATCTATTGTAAAATATTTCTAAATTTAGACCAATTACGTTGACTTAATTTGAATTAATTAATTGTTATATTCTAATGACTACGACTAATATATCGCTGTGACGGACCAATGAGAAGAGAGTATCATGTATCACGCACGAACGTTCTGCTTTTTGATTGGTTATTATGTTACAACCTAACGACTCGCGACGAGCTGTGTAAACAAACATCATGATACGCGTCTCTGCGGTTTTAAGATTGCGATCTAATTGAATGACATTATGATCACATTATTTTTAACATTAAAATAGATTGCATCACACATCAAAATTGTGGAATAGTGAAATTTGAATGATTACTTTTATTATATGATTTATTTTGGTATTGAAAACGAGCATCGAATGTCAGCATGAAGAGGCATTTTGTTAAGTTTGTTCGTGTTGTCTGGCAACTTTTGTTTAGATTTCTAATTCTTTTTTCTCCAATGCATACGCATATTATACATTCGATTCAAATGCAGAACGTACAGAAAGGCTACGGTCCATTTAGCGCCACAATATTTCGAAGCATTTGATCAACCAATCAGAACAAAGAATTTTATGAATTGAGCAATCAAAAAATATTTTGCATTTGTAGCACTAAATGTAGTAAACTGCACTCAAAATATTATGGAAGCATCCCGTTTGACCACATTGTAATTGAATACAGCGACCGATGCTTGAAAATTTTCCACTGAATCAATCAATCAAAAAAATTTTATTTTAAATAATCAATCGGCAACGTGGACAATTGAATGCTATCCAATATTATAAGGATATATGTAACACGAACAAACCCAATTTGATAGCTACGAACAAACAAACTTTGTGAATTTTCAGTTTTTTCTTTAAGTCTGTTCTTTTTGGCTGAACTGATTGCACTAGTTTACGGTTTATTTCCTTTTTTTTACACTGAAAGAAGAAAGATATACTCTGAACTAGTGCAGCCAGTTTAGGTAAAAAGAATAGATTTTTTTATTTCCGAATCGAGCCAAAATGGCCGTGAGAGTCGTATGAATATAAAAAAGAGCCTTTTGCTTGATCTTTGAGAGGGCAAAATTATATGATATATTTCTTGGATCCACTTGGACCAGTCGAGTCGAACGTTCCTCTGAATCTCGAGAAGTGATCGCGAACCTGTATTGTGAGTCAGAATGACCGAAGAAGTACTACAATCCGAAGGTGCTACGCAAAACGACAGCTGTTCTGTACAAAACGACACGCAACCTAATTCCTCGGATGTCGGAAAAGTCAAAGATAACAAAAAAGAAAAATGTCGTCCAATGACAAAGGTTCGTCCGGACTGATCTTTATTATAGACATGTGTTTCTCTGTCGCGATAGACATACTTTATTAACTTTCCCATCGTTTTCTCATAGTAATGTAAACATGGCATAGGTTATGTTAGATAAATATAAAGGAATAGAACCGGCTGGATTTTATCAACTTAGAAAATGAAATTTTGTGACTACACAAAATGACTTGAACAAATATATGCTTTATACATGTTCAATGATCTTTTATAAAAGAAGGATCATCCTGGCATTACATGGTAAACTATATATTGTTGGAAATATGTAATCTAGTAGAGTGAGAATATTAAAAATCTGAACTCAATATTTTTGGTATAAGTATCACTTCCGGCTCTTCAAAATTCACTACTGAAAATGCTCGTATGTGTCTATATGCATTCATAGGTGCATGGAAAACATATATTGATATATTTACATGTTCTGAATATGATGCAATTATCAGCGCATTCATCTCCAACAGAAACCGAATCGTTGACTTTTGTAAACATTAATAACTTTCAATGGAGTCATAGCTCTGTGGTGACAGTGGGCAAGGAATCAATGATTCGACTAAAACTCTCTAGTTTATTATGTAATGCCAGAAGTAAAACTTTAATGGAAAGTGAACATTCTTTAACTTTATTAAAGTTAAAAAATCTGATAAAATATATAAGATAATATAAAGTATTATTGATTGGAATTAGGTGGTGATCAGAAGACTGCCTCCAACAATGACTCAGGATCAATTCTTAGAACAAGTTTCTCCACTGCCGGAACATGATTATATGTACTTCGCAAAGGCTGACATGTCCCTTGGCCAATTTGCTTTCTCTCGCGCTTATATCAATTTTGTGGAGCAACAAGATATTTTTATGTTTCGAGAGAAGTTTGACAATTATGTCTTCGTAGATTCCAAAGGAATAGAATATCCCGCAGTAGTGGAATTTGCACCATTTCAGAGATTGCCAAAGAAACGTGTGGGCAAGAAGAAGGATCTCAAATGTGGCACCATTGAGAGTGACCCATATTACATAAATTTTTTAGAAAATTTAAAGAATCAGGAGTTGGATTCGAGTGTAGCCCAATCAAAAACCGAGTATTCTTATCAACCACCAGATAGTGAGTGCTTTATACATATCTTTATCTAAATTTAAAGATGTAGTAATATTTAGAATATCTACTCTCTGGAATAACTTTGAATTCTTAGGGAACTCTGATTATAGTGTTTATAAACATATAAATTGACATATAGTGCTTATAAAGATATAAATTATTTTAAAATTAAAATTATTGTATTGTATAGATACATTGAAGAAAGTAACAACAACTCCATTGCTTGAATATTTGAAACTTCGTAAGCAAGAGAAACAACGTCTCAGGGATGAAAAACGTGAAGAAAGGCGACGGAGGGATATGGAAAGACGAAGGACTAAAGATGATCCTGTTATCTCTAAGGTAAAATAATTGAATTAATATGTCAATTAGCAACAAATGCAGTACAATGGAATACACGGGATAATAATTGTTTTTCGCTTATCCGATTTAGTTGAAAGACAGTTTCGTACTGTGTATTTCGTTCTTTACTGTATTTGCTGATACCGAATGTTTTCATCTGCAGCATATATATACCGCGGAAGATGAACAATCATCCAACTTTCGTACATCTCACTCCACAAATATCAAACTTGAAGACACGTTTTTTCAATACTTTGTCGAAAACGCGAGTACATATAAATATGGCGATGAGATTTTCCTCAATAGGTTTCTATACAAACGAGCGCAAGGGAAATTGTATAAGAAACATCAACGGTTTCATGAGCATATTACAAAGACAAAACAGATTAGAAGTATGTTCGATATCAAGAAACAATATTTAACTGGCAGTAATCAAGTTAACTGCAAAACTTATTTTTGTTTCCATAAAGGCAACCATGTAAGAAGAAGTTCTTTATTAGCAAAAGAAAAGTTCAAAAGAAATTCATATTTTTCTAAAATTTTTAATATATTGAATATGTATATGATTATTTTCATTTATACTAGTAGCCGCGAATTTCTCCTTCATTTTGACCTGCAAAAAAGTTGTGGTGCAGTATTGACATCGAATGAATTGCATGTTACTCCAAAGTGGCATGTGAAAAAAATGGATTCAGGATTTAACTTTGCGAATCGTGCTGCTGTATTATGTGATATGCAGAGAAGTCGATGCTGACGTTTGATGAATGTTGATAGTTCTCGAGAAAAGAGCGTTTATCACATATTTACAATTAATTTTATATTTACAATTTTCTTAAAACTTTATAATTTCACATATACGTGTATAGCATGTCGTCACTTTGTAATTCTTTTAATCTGTACTCAATTTTTGAAAAGTATATGTTTCTAAGAAAAGACTAATTATTTTATTATTATGCTGTATATTTCATTATCTAATGCATTTGCAAATATTTTAATAAAGAAGTATGCAAAAAATTACAAAATAATAAAAGACAGTAGATATATAATGAAATAATTGGAAATAAAATAGATATCTACATATATAAGTATATATATAACTTGTGACTTTTTACAGGTTTTAAGGAATCCGGATTTAGATAAAGATTCAGGAAAAGATGATAAGGAGAATAAGGAAGAAAGAGATAAGCTCTCGCCGAAAGAGATGAAAAATAGAAACAAAAGAGATGAAAAAATAAGAGAGAAACCAATGCGAGATCGAGAAATTAAGCCTGTCATTAAGGGGTACAGAGAACGAGTTGATGATAGAAATAAGGAAAGAGAGATCAAGCCGCGACGATACGATGAAAAAAAACCTTATGGGAGACACGAAAGAGATGTGAGAGAAGAGAGAAGAATCGATCTCAGAGATGACAGGAGGTACGAGATGAAGGAAGAATTTAGAGAATCCAGAGATCGAAAGATGGAGGAGAGACGTGGAAAAAGTTACGAAAAAATGAGACAAGAGAAAAAAAATTAGCAGAAACAAAAAGCAGATTGCTGAGGCCAATGAAGAAGATATGAATTCAAAGAAAATAAAAGAGGAACATGATATTACACAAGAGATGGAAAATGAAAATGACAAGGAACTTGGGTATAATGGAGATGATATTAAAGATAATGAATGTGAGCAACATAATACTCTCGAGGATAGGCTAATAGATGCGATACAAAATAACCGGGATAGTATAGAAGAAGGAAATGCAATCAATGCAGGTGAAAAAGATTTATTCGTAAAAGAGATTTTATTTCTTCTCTTATTTTTTAATGTCATTGAATTTAACATCTTCAAAAACTTAATAAAATCTACTTTTTCTTTTTTCTTTTTCTTTTTACAATTTTAATGAATACATAAATTTTAACTTTATGATGAGAATAACTTATTTAATTAGATACTTAATGGAATTGATTGTTGCAAAATTACGTTTTAAAGAAATCGCAAATGCATGCATTTGAAATATCGTGTCTTTCAATTTTGTGAATTTGTTAAACAATGTATTAAATAAACAAGAGAGAATATTTATTATGGACTAATATTTCTGTGACATAACATATGTAACAAATATATTAACATAGATGTCAATGATGAGGATGATTCTGAGGATAAAGAATCAAAAATTGTAAAAAGACGTAATTCTCTCGAAAGTTGCGGCGAAGGTGGTGCAGGTGATGGCAATTGCTTACGACGTCACAAATCATTAGATGGAGGAGGACAAAGTAACTTCCAAAAAAATGATAACGAGGAGAAAGAGAAAAACAAGAAAGATCCACGATTAGAACGTAGAATACGGAATAAGGCAAGAGTTTCTTTGATAGCAGTTTAAATCAAGCCTTGATTTTCAATGTAATCTGATAAATTATTTCTATGTA